AACCATAATTACTCTCTGTGTCCCTTACCCAGTTACTCCCTAACTCCCTGTCTCTCTCCCTTTCCCACCTCCAGTAACTATAGGTCTGTTCTCTTCTTCTGAAAGCTCAATGTTTTATTGCTTTCTCTCTCTCTCTCTCTCCTTCCAGCAGCATGGATGGGCTTAGAGAAAATTATGTTAAGTGAAATAAGCCAGGCACGGAAAGAGAATTATCACCTGTCCTCACTCTTAAGCAATTCACTTTAAATTAACAAAATGAATAAGTGAGAAGGTAAGACTGGAAACATCATAACTGTGACTAAGAATTTGGCCTTGAATAGCCTTTTGATTTTCTGATGTGCATAACTACCTGTTTTCCCTACTTGTAAAATTGCACTTAAGGTCAAAACTAAAATATTTTATGCTTCTCACAAAAAAAGGCAGTTTAGGTGAAAAGTCTGTTTTTCTGAGTAGCAGGTATATGGTTTGGCTTCCTTGCCTTGGCTGGTCCATATGAATTTACACCTGGATGGATACAGTCTTCAGAACCCCCTTCAAACACCGCTACCTTGGTCCTTCTACCTTTCTCCTGTCTCTCACTCCTACTAACAAGGGAAATATCAAAAGTTATCTGAACTAGTCAGAAAAGACATAATGTTTTTTTCATGTGGGAACTTGAAATTTATGGCTTTGGATTGTGGCGCTTACCACTGGAGGAAGGCGCCCAGCCTAGTCAGAGCACAAAGCTTCTTCCTGCATCACTCAGGCAGTCTCTGATTAGTGCCTCCACTTAGGAACAAAGGTTTTTTCATTTGCTTTTTTTTTTGGCGGGGCGGGGGGGGGGATATACTTAAATGATTAGATACAAGTGTAGACATGAGAGATTTATCTAATGTCAGGTCTAATTATCATACCTTAGAATAATGGAGGATTCAGAATTTGAGGAATAATTTTCTATACTCGAAGGTCACTCATGTAGATAGCCCTCAATATACTTGTATAATAGATATCATTTACTGTACCATACTATGTGGTAAGTACTGAGTTAGGTATTTTTCCATAAATAATACCATTCATTTGTCACCATACCTTGCAGGGGAGGTATTATTACCCTCGTTTTAATAATGAGAAAACTGAAGCTCAGAGAGGTCTAGTAACTTTGTGATATTCATAAGGAGTGAAACTGTATTCAAGAACAGGCCTGGCTGACCTCAAAGCCCAAGTTGTTAATCACTCTACTATAATGTATGAAATTAAATCAGTGAATTTTTGTATTTTTAGGATTGAAAAAGAGAGAGATGAAAATTTGGAAGTGGTTTCTGGACTTTTGAAAGTGAGCGAACAGCTGATAAGTTCACCGTGTAGTAGAACCACAACCTTTGGAAATAACTCTACTGTGACCCTCAGTAGCAGAAGCTAGTGCTGGCATGGTGGGACACAGGGAAAACACACTGGGGAGAATTTCACGTGCCCATTGCCTGTTCCATACATGTCCTTCTTCTGATTAGTATATGCTAGGCTTTTTGAATCATAGTGACAATCATACCTCTTACAGTGAATTGCATGTGCATATCATTGTGCAGTATTAAAGGCAGTATTCTATTCATTGTAATCTGTGACTTTCACAGAAACTGTGAGCCTGACAGCGCAGGTAATAGAAGCATCTGCCTTTTCTTTCCTTCTTTAAGTGCAACCCAACGTCAAAGTCAGGAGCAACTCTGAATCAGTGTATTAAAGGTGAGAGACTGATCTTGTTTATTTTCTCTTTAGCCTGTGTTCTCAGAAACAGATACTACCACATTTCATCCTACCTATTTGTTCAGTTCTTTCTCTTTTCCCTTGAGGCTTTCTTTTTTTCTTTATCATTGAGCATATCTTTCTTAATTTCTCATTTCCCCCATTTTCCTCATATTTTTAATCTTTATTCTTTTTTCGTTTATCTCTGCTCCAGTTTTTCTGTGGCTCACATTATTCCATAGACTTAAGGAAGATAAATTGAATGCTGGCTGTAGGTTGGGGATTAAATACTATCTCGTCCCCAGCAAGAAATTTGTTATAAGGCCTTAGGTGCCTTTTCACTGGGAGACCATTAGTCATGGCTACTATAAGCTTTTAAATGAGAAATTTCTCCTTATGCATCTTGAAACTATTGGAAATGATGATGGAGAGGAGAGAACCAGGAATAATAAAGATCACTGATTTGAAGGCCTGGCCTTACTTATGGGCTTGGGTTATTAATCTAATCTATCAGTCGAGAACTATCCACTTTCTATATGTACCTGGGTATATAATATGGATTATATACACATAATGTTAATTAATACTAAAAAGCCTCTTCATAATACATTGTTTAAGGTATTCTCCACACATTGTATAGCTCTTCCTTCTCCTATTCTGTTTTCACTAATTCCTAAAGGGCCAGATCAATATCTCTGTGCTTGGTACGGCCTTCCCCACTTGCTCTTGATGACACTGGAATCTTCTGCCCTTGAATGCCAATAGCACTTTTTATTTTCTCTAAACTTATCAAATATTTATCTTACTATTCACTTGATATGTATTGTATACAACATTACATTGTACTTGTTATATGTACAATTCATGTTTTTTCAACTGTTTTCTTGGTTCTCTGATTTGCAGGAGTTAGAGAAAGAACAAATCAGTGTGAAGTAAAACTTCAAGAAGAGATTGGGATTTTAATTGACCTTTAAGGATAATAAAATTTAGAAAGACCAAAAGGATGGACTTCGCAGAAACATGACCTTATGTTTTTTACAGTTGTAGTGATCCTGTTAAATAACCAGTAAAATATGAAGAATGGGTACACAAATCATATAGTAATGAACAATCACTTACACAAATATAATTTACTATTGTACTAGTTAATCTTTAACTGGGTAGGCATTTTATGTATTATTTATTTATTGTTAGGCTGCTATATAATTTAGTATTAATAATGGATACTATGTATGCAAATTTCTGGTTAGTTTTGGTTTTAACCAGGAAAGGTCACTTTTTTAAGTTTTGAGTTTTGCTCTTTTTAGTTATTTGCTCTTTTTATTGATTATTATTATGATCTGTCTTTCTGGAATAGGAATCAAGAAACCTGGGTTCTGGTCTCCCTTCTGCCAATTTTGTGAATTTTACAAATTCAGTTTAACTTTTCTGAGTCTCATGTTTTTCATCTGAATGATGACCAACCTGAACAAAATGATATTTATATAATTCCATACGCATTTTCATCCCATCACATTGGGGACGTGTGCTTTCCCTCACCAAGGCCATGGATCTTTGCAAACGGTTACTGAGTTTTCCTGCCCCCCTTCCCAGTGCCTCATACCTCCCTGTGCACGTTCATCCCATCACTTCTCTTCTGCGCTGCCTCGCCCTACCCTGGTGAGCAGTACCTGGGCCAGTTTCTGGTTATAAAAAGTGTAAGACTATGGACTGTTAGCTCAAGAGTTAAGGGTATAATCACTATGTGTAAATGAGACTAGAGAGGGACTCGAGCCAGTGGTGGTGACCAAGGATTGGCATCAGGACACAGTGTGTGCCTCTGTGAGTTTCGGGGTCTAGTATGAATGACGGCATCAAGCAGATGGCCTTTTGTGTGAGGAGGTCTGGAGTTGAAGCTGCAAAAATGTAGGAGGTCAGTACACTGGTTTTACTGTACCTTAGCCACTCCTAAAATAATTAACCTCTATTAAGTGCTTTCTGGAATTACTTTCTATTGCAGGAAAATGATTGAGGTGAGTATTTACATGGACAAAAAGAAATGTAACACTGCTTCCTGCCCACCCTCCAACTTATATGTAAATATAATATAAATTAAAGCACTAAATCTCCAGAGTCACACTTTGTACTTTACATTTTAAGGTCAATAAGAAAGCTCATGTGTCCTTCTAAAGGGTGACTTATTAATGTTGGATATTCACTTACTTTTATAATCATGAATTAAAAGTATAAAATTACAAATTCTCTTGAAGATAAAATATCTGAATGGATTTCAGTCAAATTAAGCAGGATAACATCAAGTATAAGAATATGTGACCATGCAGGAAGTAACAAGTACTTTAAATGATGGGGGATGCTAATGGACCTAAAAGCTGGTACCAAGGGGAAACTGAGACACTGATGAATTCTCAACTGTTCCAAGTGCTGTTCCTCAATACCTTCATGTGTATGGACACAGAAGAATCCTACATATGCTGTGGACATTTTAGGCATATGCCTTAGCAGGAACTCTGGTGAAATCCCCCAAATACAGATATGTTAGGCCTGGAGAAAGCCTTGCATGACAGGTGATGTAAGTTCCTTATGAAATCCTTCCATGGTATGAAGCCATTTAGTGCTTTGTAATTATGACAGATTGTGTAGAAACTGGAGGCACTTAGATAGCACTGAATGTGGGAAAATGTGATGGATAATAGTGGTTATTCTTTTTTTTTAATGAACGTCCACATACTTCCCCTGTTCTACTATAGTTTTTGGCTTTCCAATTTCACATACCCCAGTCTCTATTTAGTCTCAACTCGTTTCTCAGGCACCTCTTACTCCAGGTGATGACACGTCTGCTAATCATGATGTTTTCCTCTTATCCCTACTTTCTGTAAAAGAATTGCGAGTGCAAACTGGGGAGGGAAGGGGATTATGAGAACATGCATAAACACAGTGTAGAATATGTTGGAAATGAGGAAGAGTCAATATCACAGGTGATTTAAGCACCTGATGAATGTCATGGATAGTCATGAATCTTTTGTTCTTGTCTAATCTGTTAATTTGAGAATAGGACATTACATTGAGAGTATTGCTGATAGGTTTAAATCATGTTGCAGCTCATACATTGTGGTGATATTAAGGTGATTTTTGTTATTTTTGTATAATTGAGAAACTGGCTAACTGTATACTATTTATTCATAATAAGAGCATTGTAACATCAATGATTTTAGTACACATTATCATCCCCATAATCACAATTTCCTCCTCATTTTCTTAGTTCTCATCATTTCAGCTGCAGCCCGGTTGGCTGGATCCATGGATGGAGGGAATCACTCTGTGGTGTCTGAGTTTGTGTTTCTGGGACTCACCCATTCATGGGAGATCCAGCTTCTCCTCCTGGTGTTCTCCTCTGTGCTCTACGTGGCAAGCATGACTGGAAACATCCTCATTGTGTTTTCTGTGACTACTGACCCTCACTTACACTCCCCTATGTACTTCCTACTGGCCAGTCTCTCCTTCATTGACTTAGGAGCCTGCTCTGTCACGTCTCCAAAAATGATTTATGACCTTTCTAGAAAGCACAAAGTCATTTCATTTGGAGGGTGCATCGCTCAGGTCTTCTTCATTCATGTCATTGGTGGTGTGGAGATGGTGCTGCTCATAGCCATGGCCTTCGACAGATACGTTGCCATATGTAAGCCTCTCCACTACCTGACCATCATGAACCCACGAATGTGCATTTTGTTTCTAGCTGCTGCCTGGGCTCTTGGTGTCAGTCACTCACTTTTCCAATTGGCATTTCTTGTTAATTTACCCTTCTGTGGCCCTAATGTATTGGACAGTTTTTACTGTGACCTTCCTCGGCTTCTCAGACTAGCCTGTACAGATACCTACACGTTGCAGTTCATGGTCACTGTCAACAGTGGGTTTATCTGTGTTGGCTCTTTCTTCATACTTCTCATCTCCTACATCTTCATCCTGTTCACTGTTTGGAAGCATTCTTCAGGTGGCTCATCCAAGGCCCTCTCTACTCTTTCAGCTCACATCACTGTGGTCCTTTTGTTCTTTGGTCCAACCATGTTTGTTTATACATGGCCACATCCCAATTCACAGATGGATAAGTTTCTTGCCATTTTTGATGCAGTTCTCACTCCTTTTCTGAATCCAGTCATCTATACATTCAGAAATAAAGAAATGAAGGCAGCCATGAAGAGAGCATGCAAACAGCTAGTGATTTACAGGAAGATCTCATGAATTATATGATAAGGCCACTTCAGTAACCATGATGTAGCTTTTTATGTTTCTTTTTTTGATATTTTAGTACAGGAACTTTTGAGACATCAAATATTGATTTGATCATTGTTAGATCTGTACAATAATTCTCATCTGATGAATATATTTATTCCTTGTGAAGAATGAGTCATGAATACAGTACATTTTTCTATCTATGTTAGTCTCTTTTAATTTCTCTCAGTAATGTTTTGTAGTTTTGGGTGAATAGATCTTGCATAAACTTTTTATATTTATCCCTAAGTATTTCATATTTCTGATGCTCTTTTAAGTGGTATTTTTTTGTTTCAATTTATAGTTGTTTATTGCTAGTCTATGGAAGTACAATAGCTTTTTGTTTGACACTGTATCCTTCAAACTTGCAAAACTTATTTATTAGTTCTATTTGTTTTTTATAGATTATGTAAAGATGTTCTTAATAGATGATTATGTTGTCAACAAAGACTTTTTTTTATTGTGGTAAGACATACGTAACATAAGAATTTCCATTTTAAGCATTTTTATACATATGATTGCCTGGAATTAATTACATTCACGTGCTGTGTAAAAACTACCTCTATGTATTTCCAAAACTTTATTGTCGTTCTAAACATAAATTCAGTACCCATTAAGCAATAACTTATTATTCTTTCCCTCCATTTATGGTAACCACTAATCTACCTCTAAGACATTTATTTTTATTTTATTTAATTTTTTTAAAAAACATAATCGATTGTACATATTTATGGGGTATAGAGTTGAATAGCAATACCTGTGTACAATATGTGATGATCAAATCAGGATAATTAGCATATTCATCATTACAAAAGCATTCTTTGTGTTTGTTAACCAATTTCTCATTAACCTCCCACCCACTACCCCTTTTCCACCTCTAATACCCGTAGTTCTGTTCTCTTTCTGAAAGTTCAACCTATTATTGTGATGGTTTCTTTTTTTTCTTTCTTTCTCTCTCTCTCTTTCTCAGTTCCCACTTGTGAATGAGGACATGCAATATTTCTCTTTCTATGCCTGGCTTATTTCACATAACATAGTTTACTCCAGGCTCATCCATGTTGCTGCAAATGGAAGAATTTCATTCTTTATGTGGCTGAGTAGTATTCCATTGTGTATATATACCACATTTTCCTTATCCAGTTGTCCATTGATAAACATTTAGGTTGGTTCCATATTTTGGCTATTGTAAATAAGGCTGTGATAAACATGAGAGTGCAGGTATCACTTCAACATGGTGATTTCCATTCCTTTGGGTATGTACCCTGGTAGTGGGATTGCTGGATCATATGGTAGTTCTATCTGTAGTTGTTTGAGAAACCTCCATACTGTTTTCCATAATGACTGTACTAATTTACAGACCTACTGACAGTGTGGAGAGTTCCCCCTTTTCTATATCCTCACCAGCATTTGTTATTCTCTATCTTTTTGATAATAGCCAGTCTAATTGAGGTGAGATGATATCTCAATGTGGTTTTGATTTTCATTTCCTTGATGATTAGTGACACTGAACATTTTTTCATGTACCTGTTAGCCATTTGTATATCTTCCTTTGAGAAATGTCTGTTCAGCAACTTTGCCCATTTTTAAATGGTATTTTATATATATATATATATTTTACTATTAAGTCATTTGAGTTCCTTGAACCCCCCCATACGAATCCCTTGCCAGATGTATAACTTGATATTTTCTCCCATTCTGTAGGTTGTTTTTTCACTCTGCTAATTGTTTCCTTTGCTGTGTAGAAGCTATTTTTAAAAATATAATCTTATTTGTTTGTTTTTCATTTTGTTGCCTGTGCTTTTGAGGTCTTCTTCATAAAGTCTTTGCCCAATCCTGCTTCCTGAAATGTTTCTCCTATATTTTCTTTTAGGAGCTTTATGATTTCAGGTCTTATATTTAAGTTTCTTTTTCCTTTTTGTCTTTTTTACTGACTGGTAACAGGATTGCAACCCTCGGTGTCGCGCCCGCACCGCGCTCAGCCAGTGAACGGGAACCGGTCTTGACATGGGATCCGAACCCTCGGCGGGAGCGCTGCCGCGCTCCCAAGCAGCGCACTCTCCAGTGCGCCACCGGGCCGGCCCTTATATTTAAGTTTTTAATACATTTTGAGTTGATCTTGCTATATGGTGAGAGGTATGGGTCTAGTTTCATTCTTTTACATACGGATACCCAGTTTTCCCAGCACTAGTTATTGAAGAGGCTGTCCCTTTCCCACTGTATGTTCTTGGTGCCTTTGGCAAAGATAAGTTGGCTGTAAGTATGTGCATTTATATCTGGGCTCTCCATTCTGTACCATTGGTCTTTGTGTCTGTTTTCATGCCAGTACCATGCAGTTTTGGTTACTATTGCTTTGTAGTGTAATTTGAAGCCTGGCAGTGTAATGCCACGTTTTTCCCCCCTCAGTATTTCTTTGACTATTTGAGGTCTTTTGTTGCTCCATATAAATGTTAGGATTGTTTTTTCTTTTCCTGTGAGGAAAGTCATTGGCGTTTTGATGAGGCTTGCATTGAATCTGTAGATCACTTTGGATAGTATGGGCATTTTCACAATGTTAATTCTTCTAGTCCAAGAGCACTGAATGTCTTCCCATCTGGTGTCTTCTTTAATTTATTTGTAGTTCTTGTTGTACAGATCTTTCACCTCCTTAGTTATCTTGATTCCTAGGTTTTTCCTTTCTCTTTTTTTTTTGGGGGGGGGTAGCTATTGTAAATAGGCTTCCTTTTTTGATTTCTTTTTCTTCTAGTTCATTGTTGGAGTATAAAGATCCTACTGATTTTCGTCTATTGATTTTGTATCCTGCAACTGTCCTGAATTCTTTTATCAGTTCTAAGAGTTTTTTGGTAGAGTCTTTTGGTTGTTCTACACATAGGGCCATGTCATCTGCAAACAGGGACAATTTGACTTTGTCTTTTCCAATTTGGATGCCCTTTATTTCATTCTCTTGCCTGATTGCTCTGGCTAATACTTTCAATACTATGTTAAATAGGAGTGGGATAGTGAGCATCCTCGTCTTATTCAGGATGATATTGGCAGTGGGTTGGTCAAATAGGCTTTTATTGTGTTGAGATACTTTCCTTCTATACCTAATTTACTGAAAGTCTTTATCATGAAGGGATGTTGAATTTTTTGAATGCTTTTTCTGTGTATACTGAGATGATCATATGATTTTTGTTCTTGATTTTGTTGATGTGGTGTATCACATTTATTGACTTGTATCCCTTGGATGAATCCCACTTGATAGTGATGTATAATCTTTTTAATGTGTTGTTGTATTCTTTGCTAATATTTTGTTGAGGATTTTTTCATCTAAGTTATTGGCCTGTATATCTAATGATATTGGCCTGTAGTTTTATTTTTTTTGTCATATCTTTGTCTGATTTTGACCTTATAGAATGAGTTTGGGAGAATGGACTCTGTTTCAATTTTTTGGAATTTTTTGAAAAGCATTGGTATTAATCCTTCTTTAAAGATTTGGTGGAATTCAGCAGTGAGGCCATCTGGTCCTGGGCTTTTCTTTGTTTGGAGAATTCTGATTACTGTTTCAATCTCATTGCTTGTTTTTGGTCTGTCCAGGTTTTCTATTTCTTCTTGGTTCAGTCTTGGTGTTTTGTATGTGTCCAAAAATATATCCATTTCCTACAGGTTTTCAAATTTTTTGGCATACTGTTGTTCATAATAGTCTCTAATTATTCTTTGTATGTTTGTGTTATGAGTTGTAATGTCTCTTTTTTCATTTTTTTT